CTCGCGCAGGTGCAGAGAGAGCGAGCCAGAGAGCGGGAGCGCGGGGAGAAGGACGCAGCGCCACACATCATATAAGATGCCTCGCCACGGTGTGCGTGGACAAGCAGACAGAACCACGCTTTCAGGGCAAGGGACACCCAAGAGTGAGAGAGGCCGGTCCCTCCCTAAGAGAGGGCAAACAGCCCACCCTCTGCGTAGACAGACACACAGCTCATCCGCAACATAGTAAGGAAAGGCAGGGTGCGGGGTGGGGTGGGGTGAGAGATCCAAGACACTAAACTGGGACCCAGACCACTGAAACGGAGAGTAGTGAGGGGACACACACACACCACAACTCTCCGAGCTATGGACCCCCACGGCACTCCCCTCCCCAGGCAGGAGGAGAGAGTGGCACACCCCACGGGGTAGGTACATAAGCAAGCATGGTCACTGCAGGCTGGGTCAGGTAGCGCAGAGGGAAGGCATTATTGAAGGGGCGCTTGGATCTCAGACCCAGGAGAGGTAGAGAAGGGACAGAAGAAACGGCAAGGCTTCAGGACAGGGTAGTAATAAGAAAGGGAGGATGGAGACTAGGGTTGAAAGAGACCCCTTTCCATTCAGTCTTTGGAGCAAGTAACATCCCCCCAAGACTCAGATCCAGGAGAGACCCCTCCCCAGAGGCTAACTTGGGGTAGAGGGAGCCTCCATACTCACCCAGTGCCCAGAGCCAGAGACGTACCAGGTGAACAGGCACAAGATGATTCGCCTCAGACCCTGGGGTGCAGGGTGGCTGGCACCCCAGCCCCACCCTGTCCCCACCCATGATATCATTCCTTTTTCCTCCCCCAACCCAGACCTTTCCCCCACTGGCAGAACACAGACACAGGTTTGGACACATTTAATGGCAGGATACTGTGAACAGGGAGACCTTTCCCTGGATTGGGGTGGGATGGGGTGGCAGAGGAGGGTGTCGTCTTTCAGACCCTAGATTGTGGCATCCCTGCCCCACAGCAGAGCCCTGTACCCCTGGAGTCTACCCTCCTCTGCCCTTCCCTCCCACAACATTCCAGGTTCTGAATTCCAGACCAGTCATAGAAGAGAAGACATACACACACTGGGGCCACCAAAGCATACACAGTGACACAGGATGTGTAGAGATCTGTCACCTGTTCACGTGTGAGCAGACACATGGACATCTCTGGCCATGCTTGCCCATGTGCAAAGCCAGTCACACAGTCAAAACCAACACAAATGCACTCATGTGTACTGAGGACTGCAGCATACAGCCTTGGTTAGGGTATATTTACAGTGATATTCAACTAAAGGGCCTTCTGCCTGTACATGCACTCGGATGCGCCATGCACACTGGCAGAGACAGACACGTCCACACTCTGGGACTCCTCAACTTTGGTCATGCACACATACTCATTCTCATCCCCATATACAAGCACCCCATCCTGGCCCAATTCCCACCCTACCCCGCCCCTCTCACCTCCCTGAGTCAATCCCATCGACCAGACTTCAGAAGCAAGTCAGCCAGCAGCCAAGGAGGGGACAGGTGTCAGTGTGCCCATCTCTCTGTCCCCACCCATGGGGTCCTGCTGGTTCCACCCCCCACACACTGTATGACACACAGGATGTACATATGTCCACAGTATGGGGACTGCACACAGACAGGGAAACAGGAAGGAGATCAGGGCTGCTAACTAGCCCCCACACAAGAACCTGGGGCCCCCAGACACCCCAACCCATGTTTTGGGTATCCCCAAACAAGATGGTCTCAGTAGCAGCCAGGGGCAGATTTGGGACTGGGCTACTCATTAACAGAATCCTGCCTTCTCCCAACTTTCAACTTGACCAAGATGAGAAAGAGGCCCTAAAGTGTGGGGTATGAAGGGAGTTGGGAGTGGTGGGGCACCTAAGGGTGTGAGGACATTTACCTTGGGGCATCAAAGCTGTCGTAGGAGCCCACTGTGTAATGCCTGAAGAGTCTCTTTGCCTTGTCGCTTCGGCTTTCTGTAGGGACAAAAAGCCTTGGTCCCTCACTTTGTAAATACCAAGCTCAAGCCTACCCACAGACTCCTGCCCCTTCAGTGGGGGGGGGCAGGAGAGACAGGAAGATTGTAAGGTATGATGGACACTATTTCTTGTTACCTTGTCTTCCCTCCTGGGAGCGGTTTGCCACCTCTTCTAGGCAGTCAGAGGGGAACCAGCCAACTCGACCTTTGACCTGGCCTTCCCAGAAGCCTCCTTCCCCGATGCTGAGCACTGGATAGGGACAGGAAAAGGTTTTGAGCGTTCTTTCCTCTCTCTCTCTCTCTCTCTCTCTCTCTCTCTCTCTCTCTCTCCCCCCTCCCCCCCCTC